TTCAGATCATGCAGCACCTAATGACTGCTAGCAGCTTGCTGTGCTTAACTGGAACCAGCACTGGGTATTTCATAAATATCTGCTAACACTGTCGAAGGACACACTGAGGAATCTAAATTTAATTTACACTCAGGAAGTGAATACCCTTCTGCCACCAGAACGATCCTTTCTGACCAGTTTAAGACCTTTCTCTATCCCCCACAACTCTTTGTCTCTTACCATAGAATCATTCAGATTTGAAGGGACCTGGAGAGGCCTGTAGTCCAGCCTGCCCAAAGCAGGATCCAAACTGAATTCAGGTCATATTGCTCAGGGCTTTATCCAGTCAAATCTTGGAAATCTTCAGAAATGGAGATTTCACAGCCTCTCTGGGCAACCTGCTTCAATACTTTACTCTCCCCATAGCAAACTTTTTTTTTTCTTATGTCACATTGGAACTTCCCATTTCAATTTCTGAATATTGTCTCTTCTCACACCACTGCGCACCTCTGAAAGGGCACCTCTGAAAGGGCCTCTGACTACTAGGTATTGGAAAGCTGCTATTAGGTCCCTTCTAGGACTCTTTCAGAAGGCACAAAGCCAATTCCCCCAGCTGCTCCTCATAGGGCAGGCATATGCTCCACTCTGACCACTTCCCTGTGTTCCAGCTGGCTTCCTTAAGTTTCTCACCATCTTTCTTGTATTTGGGTGAGGGCAGGGAGGTGGCCCAAAATAGATGCAGTATTCCTGATGCGCTCTAACAAGTGCCAAGAAAAAGGGAAAAATCACTTCCCTTGATGTACTGGTGATACTTCTGTTAACACAGCTCAGTATGCTGTTAACCTTATCTCTGATAGGACTCATTCAGGACTTGTGTTTAGCTTGCTTTCCACCAGGAACCCTTAGTCCTTTTCCACAGCGTAGGTGTCTTTGCATAAACTAAATTAGTTCCTAAACTTTTCTGAACCAGTCCATTTCACGCCCAGTTGTTCCCCCTTCCAAACAATCACATCCTACTTAGTTTATTTCCAGTCTTCTACTTCTGGCTTCAAATCTGGTTTGTTTCCCCCCACGGGGTGATGCTCTGTGTAACCTCAAAACTCCATAAGATTCTTTCCGTAGCAAATGTTTAGCTTCCTTTCCCTCTGTGGTTGCATGAGCTTCCTTCTCACTGCTGCTTGGACAGAGCTTGAGAGACAAACTTAAATCTTTCTGCTGGTGCTAATCCATTAACTCAGCCAAGTGGTGAAATTGGTGGGAAACTTTTCCCCTCCATGGAAAAAGCATGGAGAAGCCATAATATGCTTAAAATGTAGTTATCAAAAGCCTAAGATGCCCTTATTGAGCAAGCATAAAAATATTCTTCAAAAGCATATACCTTGGCCAAATATGGGTGCACAGTTAAAAAAGAAAGAAAGAAAACCTTGATTAAAACAAAACAAAACCTACATTACCCATATTTCCTCTTTCAAATCATGGAGCTCTACATCTTTCCAAAGTAAAAGTAGCCAAATCATTCAGTAATTCAGGGCAATGGAAAACACATTGCTTATCTTTAGAATAGCAGAACGTTTGGAGCTGAAGTTATCTCAGACAATTCAGCCTAAGACATAAACCAGAGAAATACACAATCTACATTCAAGTGGTATAAGTTTGGTAAAATCATAGGAAAACTGAAATTAAGATCTTACAATGGTGGAGACTGAGCAACTTAAATAGTTAGGGGCATGGTAGCCATGTAATCACAGAATGGTTGAGGTTGGAAGGGACCTCTGGAGATCATCTACTCCAACCTCCCTGCTCAAGCAGGGTCCTCTAGAGCACACTGCACAGGATCATATCCAGGCGAGTTTTGAACATCTCCAGCGAAGGAGACTCCACTACCTCTCTGGGCAACCTGTTCCAGTCCTCTGTCACCCTCACAGGAAAGAAGCTTTGCCTCAGATTCAGATGGAACTGCTTGTGGTTCAGTTTCTGCCCGTTGCCTCTTGTCCTGTCACTTGGCACCACAGAGAAGAGTCTGGCCCCATCCCCTTGACACCCTCCCTTCAGATACTTGTGCACATTGATCAGATCCCCTCTCAGTCTTCTCTTCTCCAGGCTCAACACGCCCAGCTCTCGCAGCCTTTCTTCAGAGGAGACATGCTCCAGTCCCCTCATCATCTTGGTAGCCCTCCGCTGGACTCTCTCCAGGAGTGCCATGTCTCTCTTGTCCTGGGGAGCCCAGAATTGGACACAGTACTCCCGGTGAGGATTCACCGGGGCTGAGAAGAGGGGCAGGATCACCTCCCTCCACCTGCTGGCAACTCCCTGCCTCATGCACCCCAGGATACCATTGGCCTTCTTGGCCACAAGGGCACATAGCTGGCTCATGGTTAACTTGTTGTCCACCAGCACTCCCAGGTCCTTCTCGGCAGAGCTGCTTCCCAGCAGGTCAGCCTCCCAGCCTGTCCTGGTGCATGGGGTTCATCCTCCCCAGGTGCAGGACCTTGGCTTGTTGCATTTCAGCCTTTGTTGCCTTTGTTGAATTTCATGAGGTCCCTCGGAATGGCAGCACAGCCTTCTGGTGTGTCAGCCACTCCCCCCAGTTTTGGATCATCAGCAAACTTGCTGAGGGTGCACTCTGTCCCTTCCTCCAGGTCATTGATGAATATGTTGAACAAGACTGGACCCAGGACTGACCCCTGGGGGACACTGCTAGCCACAGGCCTCCAATTTGACTCTGTGCCATTCACCACAACCCTCTGAGCTCGGCCTTCCAGCCAGTTCTCAATCCACCTGGATTCCACATGGAATCCACGGTGGTCCACTCATCTAGCCCACACTTCCTGAGCTTACCTGGGAGGATGTGATGGGAGACAGTGTCAAAAGCCTTGCTGAAGTCCAGGTAG